TCTCTCTCTCTCTCTCTCTCTCTCTCTCTCTCTCTCTCTCTCTCTCTGTGAGCGATTGCGATTTTCTTTTATTTGTCTCCTCCGTATCTGTACCTGTTTTGTGCTACGCCAAAAAGATTAATGGATTAAGTTTTGATCTTTTTTCCATTTCGTTACATTTTCATATATTCTCATCGAGAGAAAATAAGCCGAAGCAAAAAGAAACTGAGATAGAGGGAAGGAGACGGAGCGCAATAAAAATAAAATAAATATATATAGGGAGAGAAAAAAGCAGAAGCACCAGCCGAGGTGGAAGACTGAGCCAAACAGGAAGGACACGAGCGCACAGCAAAAGTTCGCTATGCTTGCATTCTTCATTTATTTTAGTTAATTTTTAAATAAAATGTTATACGTCTTTTTGGTAGCTGCGTAACGTGCAGATCGTAAGTGCCATACAGACACCTTTGTGCATACATATTTATGTAAATCCACCTTCTCTCTTAAAGTTGTATCGTTTTGGAATGTGCAGTGCCGCGTATCCGTGTGCTTCGTCTCCTTGCACAAATGGTCCAAATGCTCATGTGACGTAATTCAGTGTGTGTGTGTGAGAGAGAGAGAGAGAGAGAGAAAGAGAGAGAGAGAGAAAGGCAGGGAGTGGAAGGAAAGAGAGATAGTCAAAACAAGTACTCGAAGGCGAGGTGAACGAGCAGCAGCAAAAAAAAAGCAGTGAGCCAATAAGAGAAACATTGAACGAGCGCACATCCAGTGCGAACAAGAGCTCTGAAAATACAGCAAAATACAATGTAGCAACGAGGACACGTCGTGATGGGTTTAGATTGTAAAGATTAAGTTTATATCGATGGTAAGCAAGTTGAAGAAACAACACATGTTAAGCCGACGGCCCACAGCGTCATGCTCCGGTAAAATGAAACAAGTGTAGTTTAAATTTTATGAAAAACTATGCACAATTTCTGGTTGAGATACTTTTTCCATATTTTACAAATTACAATTATTGTTATTAAAAAAGTTTAATGTATTCTTTATTTTTATGTATAGTGCACTTTCACCTTCCTCAACAGCACTCTCGTTCGTTCGTTCGAGGTCCCGATTCATGGCACCGCATTACCCCAATTTACATGCTCTTTTCAAGCGCCACACGCCCCAACCGGAGACGAGAGAAAGAGGAAATGTTGGACGAGGGCGCGCGTTCGACTGAAACGCAACGACAACGAGAAACGACCGACCGATGATAATATAAGTGAACTTTGACTGGAATAAATCAATGAGATTTGGCTATTATTAATAAGATAAGTTTTTATGCTGTTGTCTTTCTCTTTTTCGTTCTTTCGCTCCCCTTCTCTATGCCTCTTCATCGAATCTATTTTTCATATATTTATTATGACCTCAATAATTTTCTCCACAATAATGAAAAGAACACTATTTCGACCTGGAAAATTAACTGGGAACATATCTGGAGAAAAAATTGCATAGCATCAACGACAATCATGCTTGTAATCGAAACTATTACGGTTCTGAATATGCAAACTAAATCCAATTTGAAATGATAATGTGACGGCAAAACCGCCCAATGATGCGACATTCCAATAAGAAACGAAATTGATTTATCATCATGCTATGCTGTTGGTGGTGATGGTAGTGGTGATGTTGTTGAACAAACCCAAAAGAAAAAGTGACAAAGGAACACGAAGAAAAAGTACTAAGAGCGAAAAACCGTATGCAATCGAACAAACGGAAACTTTTCACTACTGTATTATCTCACACATTCTTCGTTCTCCTTCTCTCTCGACTACGGATTTCCCATGATGTGCTTGCTTTTGTGTATACGTTGCCTTTTTGATTGTTTTTATTTCAGCTTCACCAATTTAAGTGTTTTCGGAACTACTTGAACAACGATATCTCTTTTATTTGTAGATAGGAAACTAAAAACCATAGAACGTATACACACAAACACCATAAGAGTAAGAAGAAGAAGAAGATGAAGCAGGAGAAAAAATGCAATCAATACATAAAAGTGGGTCCGCATTTGTATTTTATGGAGCACGAGGCAAAATCATTTCACCGAAAACAAAGTAATGTAAGCTATTTATATTGATCAAGTGGAAAAACAAACTACAACATACAAGCTGTAATATACTTTGGTCGTAAATTTAAAAATATTGCCATAAACTTCATAACCCTATGTCTTGTGCACGTTGCTTTTCTTCTTCTTTCTTTCTTTTTTCTCTCCTTTCTTCTCGGTGTTTTTCTTTCCTTTTCTTTTGTTGTTTGCATTTTTATTTTTCTGTGTTTCGTTGCTGGTTTCGCTGCTGCTGCCATGCATTGCATGGACAAATATTCGCTGCTTGATTCCTTTGTATCCCAATTTCCCTCTGTGTACAATACTCTTCGTTCGGTCGGTGTCTTTTTTACGTCGCTAAAGCCATAATAGTGTGTCGGAGCTTTTCAAATCGTTTCGTTTTCGTTTTTCCATCGAAATTATGACGAAAAGCTTTATTACATAGTTATAGACCGAAGACGAGAACAAAAAATATAACAAATGAAATATAAATCTTTTGATCAGATGCAGAAATATGGCTTATGTTTTGGTAATTTTCTCTGAATATTGCATGAAATATGGTATATAGCTTTGAACTTCTTTTTTTTGTTATGTAAACATTAACAGTCTTAATATCCTTCCGAAAACAATTTTTTCGGCACATAACTTTTCCATCGGCAATAGATGAATCCATTCTTCCTAACACATTTCCCACTTCGTCTCACCGCTAGGAAAAAACAAGAATCGAAATGCGAAGGTGTAGGAGTTGTTGCAAAATCGTGAAAATTCGAATTATTAGATAAAGATCATAGAATTCACGGTAAATTAACTTAGAATGTATCAATGAGTTTGCACACGAAGCTTTTTATTAAAATGACATTTATTTGTGACAGCAGCACGTAAGAAAATGTGATAATAATGCAAAGTAAACACTTGGTGTGTACCGGACTGCATTCGGATCGAGTGGATTTTCATCGGAATCGATCACATCTACCAAAAACCGAAAAGAAAATTTTGCTCAACATTTTTATCCAAAAACTTTCATCAAACCGTTTTCTTTTTAAATTTGGTGCCAAAATCTAGAAGCGTTCCAAAAACTTCGTATTTTAATATCTGCAAGTATAAAACTCGAAGTCTTGGGTAATGGTTTGAACATGCAACGTAATAAAATTTTATTTCAATTAACAGCAGAAAATCTTTGCGTTGGAAATCTTAATTGATGCTCCAACACTTAAACGGATTAAATGTGCAATTAAGATTATTCGAATGCCTGAGTGAAGAAACTAGCGAAGCATTCGAAATGGCTTAATATTTTTACCTTTAGCAAAATGCAATCTATAATGAAGCTGCACAGGGTGGATTGATGGTGATTGAGTGGGTGAGGTAAACTGGGAAGAAGGACAGAGAGGAAGAGATTTAAAACTGATTCAAGTAAATGATCCGGGCAATTCATGTGGTATATTATAATAATAAAAGCACGATTAAATGATTTGCTTCACATTACGTATGGTTTATTGAAAGAAGTTTTGTGCACTACATTCACTTTATTCATAAGACATTTCCATTCTCACAGTATTTCCATTCGCATGTATTTGCTCCGGTGTTGCTTTCTGTATGGGTTTTTATATATATGTATATTTATAACGATAATATTATAATTTCGGTTGGTTTTTCTGTCACAGCAATTGCTGAATTTTGTATTGTACACATATAACCATATAACATAGATATATCAACATTGAAAACAATAAAAAAAGAGAACGAAACAAGAGCATTATAATGTTTTACATAAAAACTGATAAACAGCTATAACGTGACGGCCTGAGAAGAAAAACCTTTCCTACAAAACCTGTGCGCAGAACACAAACACCGAAATTTTTTAGTCAAAAGGCGAATAGCCAATTTGTGAGCGCAAAAACCTAATATATTTACAGCGAGCGCAAAAGCATAACAGGCTTACTTATACGGAGTTTGCATGCTAGTGGGCTTGTTATACTTTTTTGCTCGCTGTAAATATATTAGGGTTTTGCGCTCGCAAATTTGCTGTTCGCCTTTTGACTAAAAAATTTCTGTGTTTGTGTTCTGCGCACAGGTTTTGTAGGAAACGTTCTTCTTCTCAGGCCGTCACGTTATTTCAACCCTCCAATGCATTAATTTTTCCCAGGGCTAGGAGTACTGGTACTTGGTTGATTTTTGGCCATAGATAATTAAAAAAATATTCATAATCCTGGATTCCTCATGGTTTAGTCAGGAAATGCGATTGACATAAATCAGAGAACAATCAAATCCATTATTTTAAAGTGTCAAAAATGTGTCTAATTTGAATTTCGAATAATTTGTTTTGTCAAATTCTTGTTTTTGCACACATTTTTGTTTATAACTTTACAATCACACTACATAGACAAATATTGCCAAAGACAAAAATTAAAAAAAAACATTGACGAATAAAAATTTCCTTTGAAGCAATGTGATCCGATGTACGGTTAACGTTCTACAGGCGTTCAAATGTTGCCCGTTTAGAGGCGGTTGTATGCATTAGAGGGTTAAAGGGTTTTTCTTGTTATTATTCTTGCGCCTGCAGTTAAAAAATAAACGGAAAGATAACTCAACTGAAGTGAAACCAAATTGGCCTTGTGAATTTCATTTTTAAGCACAGTGGTGTATGTGTTTGTGTGTTTGTTTAGTCATTGTGTTATCATAACACTGTTATGTGTTCGGTTTAAGTTCATGGGCTGAATGTTCCATTTAAGTGTTCATAAATAGTTGCATTTGGTTGGCTTATAAATTTAAAAATAAAATCTAATAACAATAAACATAATTTCGACTGACATGTTTTTTTTTGGTCTATTTTGCTCATGGTATTATGGTGAAACATTTAATTGACGTCATCTTCAAATTAAACGCTGTAGAAGCTATATTTGTTTGTCACTTTCTCCATTTTAAATGGAAATTTTTCCATTTTCTTTTCATGTTTGTTTCTTATTCAAAACAGAAGGAATGAGTCATTTAGTCAGACGTTTGAAATCTTGCCAAATTGAGCCCAAGGCAAAATGGACTCTGTTTCTCGATGAGCCTCTAAATGCACTAACACTGAGGATGGCGTTTTCTATTTTTTTTTCGGGTACAAAAGATTAATGTCAGAAGGCTTCTAATTGATTTGTGGAAATTATTGCTGTTGGAAATAATACAGAAATTCCGATGTCAAACGGTGCATTTGAATGAAACAAATACAGGGATTTGTACATAAAAATGTCTGGCATACATAATATTTAAATTGGAACGGATTATTTGAGTCTACTCAATTCAATGAGTCGATCGAACGGCCTATCCACTTTTGAAGAGTAAAATCGCAACTTGGCCTAGGTAAAAATAGATGAAGTGCCGAGTCTCATGAGTCACATACGAACCGAAATTCCGACCAACAATGCAGTGCCAAGTCGGGTTGTATTTTTTGTCAAACTCTTTTTTAATGTATGCCGCAATGTCCTAAACCAGGAGAAAAGAAAAGTGAAAGTTTTATGTAAATGATTCAAAATAAACACTTCAAGAGTAATTTTTGCTGCGCACAAAGTGCGCACCAAGAGCATAATTATGGTATCTCGCTGAAGTGAAATGACTGTGCGAGAGACAGAAAGGGTGAGAGAGAGAGAGACCCCCCATTTACAAACTCTGGTACATGACACGTTCATTATTCATCAGCGCGTGCGAGCGCTGGCTCCGGCAATTATTTATGTTTAATTCATAAATAATTTAAATAAATTTTAATGCAAATGTATTTAAAGCGGAAGCGGAGTTGCCGAGCTGATAAAAGCGAGCACCAGAGCCAAATGCTAAAGCACAAAAGATAAATGAATGGATGGAAATAAAAACAAAGAGGCGACCAAGAAATGATGATCGCACGCGCGCTTCCATTACACAAATGTGCCATTTGAAAAGGTATTTGTCATTGGGGTTCCTCTATTATTATGTTGATTTGGAAGTGCTTTTGATTAGGTCCGAAGTGCCCTGCAGCAATTACCTTCTCAATGTTGAATTTTTCCAATGCTTGTGTCGCACAGTCGACCGCATCCTGTTGCATTTCCTCCCCCATATCAGCATTTTTGATGACCGCTTTTCGTTCCGACATCTGTGTGACTGTTTTTGTTGTTGTTGCTGTTGCTGTTGCTGTTGCTGTTGCTGTTGCTGTTACTTCGAATCAACCCTTTTAAATTACCTGAAAGTGAAAGACCAATTACAAAATAAAGTTGTAAATGACTGAATGTCATGCAGCTGGGAAAAAAATCAGCGCGCGTGTTGATGAAGCAATTCAAAGGGCTGTGTATATAAAAAAACAACAACACTGGCTTTCGCTCATCGTTAGCATTCTATTTTTGGATGTATCTGATAAGAATATCCTTTCAATGGATGGTACGGATTGCGTTAGCTACAAATTTTATCCATTACCAGTGCGTACGAGTGTGTGCGATGGTGTATGCTTGTTGTCGATGGTGCTAATGGTGGTGATACCTTTCAGCATTCGCACGCTGTCAATATACGTTCACCATGTACACGCAACCTGTACGGCACAACAAACCAACTGGGGGGAAGAGGATGTTACATGTGTTCATACAGCACAACTCCGTATCCATCTTCAATATTTTTTTTTATCCCTCGGTTTTATTTAAATTATTGAAGGATATGTCTATTTTTAAACTACATGGAAAAAACGGAACGACATGGAAAACTTGATGATTCAATGCCATGCAGGCTTGTGCCATCACCACAAATTGATTAAGCAAAAAATGGATTGCGAAAGTTCTAGATTTTCCAATGCAAAGAAAGAGAAAGAGAGAGCCAAAGCTTAAACTTTGCGAAAACTCAATACTCTGTTATTCTTTAGTGCTGGGACAAATATGCGAGATGTACCACAAAATATCAATTCAATCATATACTTTTTTGACAATATTGACGACGACTACTTTTTAACCAAAAATTAAATTGGTATCAAACTTACCGATTGCAAAAATGACTTTATATTTTCGACGTTCTGTGCTTATTTATTTTTAGAGCTTATGACCAGCCGAGTGCCAAATTTTCAACCAATAGTTTGTTCTTTTCCGAATAAATTCCCAGTCACAATTACTTTCGCTTAAAATACTACTCAGTTCACTATCACTTATCTTATTTTTAATTTAAATCAGTACCAAATTTTCTGGTCGATTGTTGGGTTTTTGCTTACTGTTTCACTTGAAATTTACTGCCTATATAAAATAATCGAATTTCCAATACTTTCTGCATCTGCACGCAAACCGTATCGAAAATGTTATGTTTCAACATGTTTCGCCTACTTGTTGACTTTTTCGGTTCGGTATCCACGATGGATACGGTACGTCAGTGGCGCATTTTCATTGGACGTCAACGGTGTTGTCTGCCAGAAGTCTTCTGACAAGTCTTCTGCCACTCAAATCGAAATGTGTTCGTTCAATGGCACCGCATGCTATAGCAGACGCACACAATTGCGACTGCTTGTTGGAGAATTGTTCGCACAAACGTAACAACTTCAGCTGTTGCTCTACTTTCGTTGAAAATTTCCGATTTAATACAATAACATTAAAACAGATGACATTTGATGCTATTTTAACCGGATTTCTCTCTTATTGCGTGATAAATTTACGAAAACATTGACAGGAATTGTGTTTCTTTTGTTGACATTTCATTAAGTTCATTCGATTCTACCGTTATGATTACCATTTCGAAATAGAATTATGAAAAAAAAATATAAAGTTCATCAAATAGTTTTAAATATTATTATTGGAGAAAATGGTTTATTGCTTAGTATTTTTTGACATAGTTAAATGAAGTTCAATTCAAGTGAGTTCGAGAATATCTTGAGATTGGCATTGCTTGCGATTCCATGCAAAATCAATATGAAAAACTTGCCAACCACACATAATATACCTGTGGTTGGAAAGTTTCCATCGTTCGATAAATGTGAGCGAGTGAGTGAGAGAGAGAGAGAGAGGGAGCATTGAATACAGATTGGTTCGGCAACGGTGGTGCGGCATACATATTCAAAATGTAGCGAATGTGTAAACACCGTCGTCATCGCAACGAAGTCGCCAATCGTTCAATGCGAATAATGAAAATCTTGCAATTTTGTGAATCAATGAATTTTAAATGGGCACAGAAGCGCTCTTTTTTTCCCTATACATACGTCAATTTGTTCGGTATGTGTTGTTTTTTTTTGTGTGCTGTCGGAAAAAAGGGCTTAAAAATTGGAAGCAATTGTGACCAACCTCCGTACAAGCTCTTGTTTATTCTCCTGCCAATCGCATTTCTGAGATGAATGCCACATCATCGAATCAAATTGACTGAGCGGGTTCTGTGGCCCGAGTACGACTCGATATCATATAACATATAGAATAGTCTCTGTGTTCATTCATTTTGATGAAGAATTTGCCGATAGGCTGAATTTTTGTTCTTTCTATTCTACACTCTGTACATGTATGTATTCATATTATCAATGCATACGTATTTGCAGAAGCAACAACTACACAGGAATGGGGAAACGAAGAGAAAAAAAACAGTGAAGAACAAAAAATGGAAATTTTGTGGCATGAAAGAGGAAGAGGAACAGCAAACATAAAACTAAGTTGATGTGATTTTGAATAGCGACACACAATGGCAGTGATTTGAGTCGAGAGAGAGAGAGAGAGAGAGAGTCAGTGAGTGAGTGAGCGAGCGAACGAATGAGCTGCATTGAGCTTGGCATACACGCATACACACATTGATGTACCAATTTCAGAGCCGAGGGAAAATATCATCTTCGAAAATTACTTTATAATCAAACACATTCACTCATTTTGCCTCGTCGAATTCACAATCTTTTCACTCTACGCTGCCTTTGCAACTCGCATCAAATTGATATGGGAAAACTGGTAAAATGCGTGGATAAGCAGAATGAAAAAGAAACACGATAGAAACGACGGCGTACGAGAGATTCAAGGAAAAATAGATAAAGAAAGGAAAATAATTTTTTTTTTCTCTTCTTATTCTTCTCTTCTCGTTCACTTCTACTTGCACAATTTAAAACCTTGCGTGGAAGACGCTGATGTAATTTAGCTGGAAGCTAACTAACATTCATCAGTTGTAGATCTGCTTCGATGTAAATTGAAATTTATGATAGCGAAAAAGCTGAAAGCTGAATGTCGAACCACATCGAACACACTGGATTATACACATCCATTCAAGGAGGAAGAGAAAAGAATGGGAGAAAAGAAACACGACCAGGAAACCGGTAAAGTCAAAATGAAACACTTGCGCGCCAACCAATTCTATTTTAGATTATCGTTCGAATTTCGCATTAAATTTTTGCAAATGTGAAGCGATTACATAGTTGCATACCGTATATGCAATGGTGGTGAAATACGAAAAACCTGGAAAACCTACAGCCAACCACCGGAGCTATCAAGCTATCGGTAATAATATCAGAACAGCATCGTGTATCTTAACCAATCAGCTACATTCGTTATGCACATTGTACGAACAGAAAACGCAAAATGGCGTAAACCGACAGGGAAATACATTAGCTTAAAGTATTCTAATTTCCCGTCTTCTGTTTATTTTCCTCCTTTGATTATCGTTATATCGAAAATGGATTGATCACACTACAATTGAATGAGCTGTGAGAATGTGCGCTCTCCGGCACAACTTGTCTCTCTTCTACAATATCTTTAGCTTTTAGCACACAATTAACGTGACGCAGTTGGATACGAAAATTGGCTCATCTTTAAATTGAATGAAGCTTGAAATTGAACGCAATCCACAATTTTCCAACCACCCATACATACAGTTAGTCACACGGTGAAGAAAATGAGATGGGTAGATAGATAGAGAGAGAGAGAGAGAGAGAGAGAGAGAGAGAGAGAACATTAAATATCACAAAATAATCATGGAAAATGAAGTGAAACTCGATTGAAATCGCTGTAGGCGTTGAAATGTCTTTGTTTGACTTTGAATATCATTTCATCCAGTCGGACTTTTCTTAATTTCAACAACAAATTACTAGTTCAAAAATAATGAATGGCATAATCAAGAGAGACAGCCAGAGAGAGAGAGAGAGAGAGAAAGAGAGAGAGAGAGAGAGAGAGAGAGAGAGAGAGGGAGAAAACTATGACGAACTCAAACAGAACGCAATCACGTGCAGAAATTCGATGCCACATTCTCGAAGCGGCAGAATAGATTCGCAGTAAGTAAAGCTTCTGGGTTTTTGGTGGCCAACAAATGTGGATCGTGAAATCCAATGAAATATTGATATCTGTTGAGAGCAAAGTAAATGGTTCTGATTGTGAATAGTTGGTACCAGCAGCCTACGTCTAACATGATAGTTCACTCTTGCTTCTTGTTCTTGTGCTCGGTCTCTTACTCTTTCGCGTCCATTGTCTATATATGCGAATGAATCAAGTGGACGGCAATCTTTCATTCCATTCTCCTTCTCTCGTACGTCGCATACCGATGATTATTGAATGGAAAATAGATTTATTCCTACATTTGATTCAAGCAAATACCCTAATGGACCGTTTCCTTATTCATCATTCTCATAATCACTGTGGCCCCCATTGTCATTAGCAATGAGTGGAGAAAGCACAGCCGCACCAATAATCACTTTGACCATTCTCGGTTGAACGAATTTTTAATTGGCATCATCCATCACATTTACATACGACCGACGAGAAAAGACGTACATACTAGCAGTACTATGAGAACTAAGAACCTCAAATTTCTCATTAGCACGGTTCTTAATTGAAAATAGTGTTTCGTGCGTATGTGTAATGAAAAGAAAATATTAGGCTGTCATTGGGTCGTTCGTTGCGTTAAGAGTCGTTTTGGTGGTGTGTTGCTGCTAGTTTTTCGCTCCATTCATTCATTGCTCAGTTGGTTGGACACGGACTGTCTCGTTTGGTCTTGCTCTCTGGTGTTCAAGTGTGTGTTCAGTGGTGAAATTCATTTCGATTCCAATTTTAATTTCAATTCCAATTTTCATGGTTTGTTTGCATTGCCACCATAACGATCGCATAAATCTGTCACACTGGGAAAACATACGACATATTAAAACATTTATTCATAAACTATTCGAACTATTTCGGAAGACCGATAAGTACTCACGAAAATGCATTTTCCATGTTTGACCATTTTCGGTAATGCTAGCAATAATCGGTTCATTAACTTGGTGGGGATAAGATTGGCTCGCCTCTCCCTCGTACATTCGGCTCTGATGAGGGTATGAGAATGAGTGAATGAATGAGCTAACGAATGAGTGGGGAAATGTGTATGAGCTTGGAATGTACGATGAACTATATCTCGCAACGAATTGATAGCTTTTGTTGGTGAACCTAATACCTAAACATAAATGATTTTAGCATCTCTCGCCGTAGCGAGAGCGATTGAAATGCCAAACCATGTAAACAAAGCAACACATATCGAAAAACTAGCAAAAAGGAATTTAGTCTTACTACTGTATATTAATGTGCTGGCGATGGAAGTAGGATGCGCAAATAATAGCAGTTCCTTGTGTTTCTCTCACTCTCTTTGGATCTGTATTTGCCGGGCGTCGGTATTGGCCCAGGTTTCGTATTGTGTTGTCAAACAATCCAAACGGGAAGTAATAAATAGACGGGTATCACCAGAACTTTTCCTTATTTGTTTATGTCGGCGCGTTCATAATATTGTGTGGAAATCTGGCCGATTCAGCTGTCTACATGGACTTATTCATTGTTTTTTTTTTGTTCGGTGTCATCTCGCCATTGCTTTGCATGCATTGTTGCGTGCGTCACTTTCTCGGACGGCATGATATCTTTGAAAAAGACACAATTGACAAACATACACATACATGCATAAAGGCGATAGAAAAAAAAGGAGAAAACCAAATAACAACAAAAAAGCAGAATTGTAGTATTCAGCTGTTCATCGCTGGCAATTTTGTATCCGTTCCGACACATGTTCAGTCTTGTTATCGCTTTCGCTTACACTACTAGCCGCACAGCACAATACTTTGGTTATCGTCTTCCGTTACGGATTCCACATAATGTGTAGAAAGTCAGTGAAAGCGGAAAGTGTGCTCAGTGCGACAAATAATAATTTTTGTCCAAGACAATGATGATGATGACGAGAGTATAAGAAGAGAGAGAGAGAGAGAGAGAGAGAGAGAGAGAGAGAGATAAACTCAACCGAACACCAGGAATAACACACATGCAACAACAATATGGCAAACAAACAGGCGACAAAAATGCATAATCTGAGACACAATACATACTCTCAAACTCAACTTAATTGTCATTCCAGTGCTTTTGCCTGTTCGATAGTTTGCCAAAAAGATTTCCTCCCATTCCTTTTTCCTCTCTT